CCCTTCAAGTCCTTCCTTGAGACTCTTCAGCTCACAAAATGCATGTACTGAATTTTCTGGATAAAAACACCTTTCTGTTAGTCTCCTGCATACTCATCACTGCAGACATCCAAACATCTGCGTCACAGTTGTTTTACATTCTCATACTACTTAACAGATAGCTTTACTTGCAGTGATTCTGTGGGCTGGTACACTTTATTGCACTTCCATTTCAGCTATCTTGTGCTACAACCAGAACTCTAATTGCTCTATGTCCCCATCTAACTTTCTGATAAGATTAATTCTCTTTTATGTCTTGGTAGTCCCTAGTTAACATAATTTATCCTCATAGTTAAGGACTCCAGAGTATTGCACCAAGATGAAACTCATTGTTCAGTGCATCTTTCAAGTAGATAATTGTTCTTCCACAAGCAGAGCAAATGCTGTTAGGTAGCTTCAAAGGACTAAATTAGCTGCAAAGCAGTGAGCAGAAAAACAGAAGAGGAGGCAACACAACTACACACCTAGCCTTGAATTGTGGCTGCTTGACTCACAGACGGACAGGACAGATGGACCTTTACACTTTTATTTTTCACTGTTATGTAGCTCTTATTTCCAGGGCACTCTGGACTGGATGTACCAGAAAACCAAAAAGCTTTCTTTACAGATCTCATGGCCACTCTGAAGTAAGGATGGGCTCTCTCCAGACATTCTGCTCTTGAAGGTTTCAGGCTGGTAAAGTTTGGATGAAAAGCTGTGTGCAAGTTATTTTGATATCAGTAGCAAAAAAATAAAAAATGAAAATGGCTCAAGGGTTGTTTCTGGATTTATGCCAACAAAACAGAAAAGTGACTTCTGGAGGTGTTGAGCATAATGAATTAAGATCTTAAGATTGTAATCTTAAAAATAAGATTTTAGGGGAAGGTAGCTTTTGTCTCCTCAGTTCTCCTGTCTCTTGGATCCTGAGATCCTGCAATGGGTGGGTACAGAGCATCCTGTGACTAGGGGAGCCATGGCCAAGTGCACAAGTTCCTGCTTAGCTGCTGGGCAAAGAGGGGAATAAGGCTTATTACAGAGTGTAAGAAGGACTTAGTTTATTAGCAGACAACATGAATATAAAAAATCCGTACAGCAGCAGACAGAAAACTAAGTGTATCTGTTCCCATGAAGTAGAGCTGCTTGGTTGCTGATAAGATTACAGAGCAGCGGGGCTGCGTTCGCTCAGAGAAGATGAGCTTATAGTGAAGAGCTGTACGCCATAAATGCTGGTCCTGCCTTTTTTTTCCCTATATACTTATTATTATAATTGGAAGCCAATTACATTATTTCAACCATGACATACATAATGAGGACGCAAATTTATGAAAGTTCTCTCATCGTTCCACCAGAAAAGAAGAAAAAAAAGCAAGCATCAAGCATAAGCAAGGCTGCACTGTCTGGGACCCTTTCATAGCAGTTTCTCTCACTGACAGCAGAACAATGGACACGCTCCTTCAGCCTCCCTGGCTCTTTGTTCCCTGTCTGTGAAGCACAGACAATCTGTTGCCTGCTTCATGGCAAACACCTACCTCACCTACTGCAGAGCACCTCTACTACTTGTACTAGCTTTAACAAAGCCTGACTAGCCATGGGCAAGAAACAAGGCAGATTCTTTTATGCAGAACTCAGTCTGCTCTTGCTAGAGTGCTGCCTAGACCTGAGTTATGACTTCTGGACGTCCCACAGAGCATCTCTCTACACAACTACAATCAGCATCACGATGTACCGAACACCTTTCATGCTACTTGGGCAGCCAGGGATCCCAAGTGACCCACACAGAAAACGGTGGGAAGGAAAGATGACTGTTAGCGAGGCATTAGGAAGAAGGTGGGAATGAATGACAGGTTATTGCCAAGTACAGGGTTGATCAGAGTGTCAGCTAAAGAGCGGCAAATAATTTCTCCTTGTGGCACGTTATCTTAGTAATACATCAAAAAATGATGCTTCTGATGTGGAGGGATTTATCATAAGCAATTATTTTTTTGTGACTGCAGGTTGTAGGTAGCACTTGTAACACCCTTCCCATTTCCTATATGGATATCTATAGAGTTTCTGGGTAATATTCTACATCTCTCCCCTTCCCCCCCTTTTGGAAAATTACAAGTCCTCCCCAGTGGTTGAAACTATTATAAAATGTGATTCAAAAATATGAGTGGCAGTTCTGGAACCACATAGTTATATAAAGGAAAAATAAAATAGTTTGGGAGGTGGGCTGGTACAGCTTGCAAACACAGCTCAGCAGCAGAGCTCTGGCAAGAGCCTGAGGTCCGCTGTGCTGCTGCAGCTTACACAGCAGGGCCCTGCACCACAGTTCAACAAAAATACTCCAGTCTCGAGTCCAGCCTGAATTTTAAACGTCAAGTCAGAATTAAATCATAGACTAGCAGACAGGAGCTGGAAAATCTCTATTTATCGGTAGCTGTTTTTAAGTGTTCAAAACCATTGCAGAGCTGCAGCACTAAACAAACAACAGCAAAGAGCCGCTGATGGCTCCATGAGTAATTAAGGGTTAGTAAGTCACTTGCCCTTTGTGCAGCCTTCCCCTGCAACTTAATATTTTGCTATGAATTTTTAGCCTAGGAAGCCTTTAAGAGTTTGTTGCAATCTGTTTTTTGAAGTTCCTGTTCAAACTCCACCTTTTCAGTAGAGTTAACTTTTTTTCCCCCCCTTGTGTTTAATGTTTTGGAAAGCACTTCTTTTGCATCAAAGTGATATTATCCTACATGCACGTGGGCCATCTTTAGTAGATGCTCCATAAATACTGCTCAGACCATGGTACACAGTCTTTTTAATAAAGAGATGCAGAGCACCAGCTCAGCTTTGTCACGACAGCAGCGTTGTGAAGCGGCTGTAATCAGTTATGAGGATGCAATGCTTTGGTGCAGGCTGGGCATTTGTCACGTAGGGAAATCAGAAAGCAAATCCTATGAACAGCCCACCTTATTCAGACTTCAGAGTTGTGACAAACCCCTTGTTCTTGTGGAGACAAGAATCACAAGTGCTAGCTCCCACTTGTCAAGCCCCTGTATATATTTTTGTTGATACTGAGCACAAAATGATTGGACAGTCAGAATTCACTTCACATGTCCCTCCTGCATGGGAGGAAAAAAATAAAACCCATGCTGGCAGGAGCTAAGCAATGCATTTTTAATAGTAGGCCACAGAGGAAAAATCATGAGCTGCTCTCCATGGCAACATGCAAGCTCTGTCACATTTGCCTGCCTCCGCTCTTTCCTCTTCTTTCTCTCCTACCCCACTGCTCTGGTTTCCTTGCCTGGGTCCTGCCTGCAGTGCTGCCTGTGACAGCTGGCCTTTGCAACCCATCAGTTTGCCACCAGGTGCGTGCAATTCATTGGATTTTCCCCCACTACAGCTCATGGCTGCATCATTATTTGGTCATACTTTGAGGCCATAGTTTGTGCTTGGCCTACAGATTTCAGGATTTTTTTAAGTTTTTTTTTTTTTTTTTTTTTTTTGCAGTTCTGAGAGGTGATGACTGGGACCGAGCAAGCCTGCCATTATTTTAAGCAGTCCTCTGCTCCTGCTCTTCCCCATCAAATTGTTAAAGCTACTCATCCATACCAGCCCTCCTTACACCATGCGTGGAAGAAATAAACTTTAGTCTGTTTGGACAATGGGAAGGGGGAAAAAGCTTGCCAGTGCCTGTTTAACCAACAAACAAACAAAAAAAAACCCACAACATAAGCTTTCTTTCTTTTAAGATATGGAGGTAAAATACCTTTATTTCTAGAACAAACCAAGGTAATTGCACTGACTCTTGGATTAATTCCCTGACTGAAGTGAGCTGCAAGGGGAAGGTTGTAACGAATGCCACAGGTACACAGGTTGCATATCCTCTTGTGGGAACACCTAAATCATGTTGATGCCATCTTGCCACCTCTACTTCCTTTATATTTCAGAAGCAGCACATACCAAAGGTGGGAGAACGGCTTTGTGACAAGCTTTGTACCCTGGACTGCGCACTAACCCCAGCCCATAGAGGCGTCAGTGCTCCCCAGCCACTTGGTGCCAAGAAGGCTACAGACACATGAGCTGGAGCAGCCTCTCCTGAGCAGAGAGCTGTAATCAGCTTGTGATGAGGACGCTCATCCTGGAGGTTTAGGTAACACTCTCACGTTGGCAAGTTCTCTCTGATGCAGCCTAAGCCCTAATGAGTTCCAGCAAGGCAGAAATTGAAGAGAGTGGTGAGGGCTCACACTGGCCAAAACATTCCCCTTGGATTTTGCTTTGTGTCTGTTTTCTCAAGGACAGACATAAACAGATCTCTGAGAAAGGTCAGCAGCTACTCAGCCTGAGCATTAATGCTTTGCAGCTTCCTTTTCTTGTGCTGCTGACAGCGTTCTCCCTGCAGCCCAGCTCCACCCATGTGGCAGAGGGGAAGGACTTCAGGCATCGGCTGGCACTGCTAACAGCTATTTCTGGGGTGACTTTTTGTAGTTCTCTTTCCCTCATCATAATCCAGAGGACTACAGATTAGCATTTTGATTGATGCCACCAAGGACGAGAGGCCTCCATAGCTGAGACTCCTTACAGATGGGAGTATGAAAAATGAGTTCAGGGCACCAAGGACTCACAGATGTCTCAGCCAGTAGATAACACAGTCCCTATAATAGGGAGCAAACTGCAATCCTTATCACTCTTTTTGTGCTATTTTTCTAGCTTACTCGAGCAAGAACGAGCACATCTCATGAATTTTCAGCACATCCACAACATCTGCCTCATACACCTGTCAACACTGTTTAATGACAGCTAATAATCATTTTAGTTAAAAAATTCAGACACGTTAGACATGTCCCCACACACTGCATTCCCCTGACACAATACTGTTACACAGTTGCTTCTCATCCCTGCAAAACACACACCTTAACTACATCTCCCACCATCAAGCCTGCAGCCGTCCTTGCTCCTGCAGACATCTCACACATCATTCCCCTGTCCTCCCTAACTTTGCCTGTGCTTACCTGCATGCCTCCTAGAGCCTTGCTCCAGCATCATGACATGTTTTGCTTTTTTCCTCAGGAAACAGGAGAGGAGCAAAGGTTTCCACTGCCTCATTTACTCCCAGTACTGCAGGAGACCATCTTGTACAACTCCCCAGCTTTCAGGAAGAGGAACAGATGTCTCCAAGCCCCTCTGGCTCCATCTGTCATGCTTTTGTAGGGTAGGGAGCATGACCAGCAGCAACCTAATGAGCGGCCCCAGCTGCAGTAATTTTGGTTTCTTCTCTTCCTCCACCTGTAACTGGGTAGCTCATCAGACCTGATTTCCTCACGTAGATAGTTTGTGGTGTGGTTCCTGGTAGTCAGTGGGAAGCCCGGTAACAAGTTGGTGTGCTCAAATTATTTCCACTTGCCCTGTGGCCACTGGTGTCTCACCTCCCTCTGTTTTGCACCTCGACTGACTAGGCTTCTACGTCTGATGTTTCTGGGAAGATAAAATCAAAAGTTTTGCTCACAGCCACGTTCTTTACATGCAACATGCCAAGCTCCATATCTGACTGAAGCTGTCGCTTAATATCATGTTTATATCACCCCGGATGAGTGACCCAAACAGCAGTAAGCCAGGAGATGTCTCTCTGGAGTGTGAGTTTTAACTCTAGTCAGGAGAAAAAAAAAAAACACAACATACACAAAACTTTCCTGTCTCATACTAATTCGGTGTGCTCTGTGAGGCCAGGAGCTGACAGGTGATGCTCTTGGGAAGGCTGCGAGTGCCAGGATCAGAGGAGCATACAGCAAATTTCTCTTTCCCTTTATGGTGGTATCCTACAGATAACTACAGAAAGCCTCCCTTATTTACTTGTGTAATCCAAAATGACCCTGATTGATTGGTGAATTTTCTCCTGGTGGAGGGAAGCTCTTAACACGTCTGTTGTCTCTGTGTAACCCTGGCCCTTACTGCATCCCTCACCTGCAACCTCTTGTTGCCCATCTATGGAACAAGGCAGGACACGGCTACCAGTGCAAGCAGCTTCTGCTCAGAGCTGAATAGAGAAAGCACGTGGTGTAGAGTAATACCAGATTTTACTAGGTTTGGGCTACTTTCTGTTGGGAAGATAGGAGAAATGACTCGTCTAACTTACTTTTCTCATGTTACACTGGCAAGGTTGTAGGGATTTTTAATTTTCATTCGTTTGCAGCGTTAGCAGTTTGCATTCACTGACTACATTCACAGCCGGAGATCCTTTTGGAGAGCTCATTTATGTAGCCTGTGTAATCCCAGCTGCAATTTTCTTACCAGGTTTACACTTTATATGCTGCAGGTATCCAAGTGCCTGCATGTTGGGAGGTGAATGCATGGGTGCCCTAACTGCTGCAGGCACGCAGTATCTGCAGACACAGCTTTCCTTCCTCCTCCTCTCCGGGAATGTGCTCCCAGATGCAAACTCTTCCATATTTGGAAACGTGCAGCTAAGAAACTTTCTTAAGGGGAAATCACATACCTCGGAAAATGTATTTAAAGCTGTCTTCTGCCTCACGTTTTGGAGTGAAATGGGGGCTAGAGAAGAGCATTTTCTCCGTGTTTGTTGAAACAGATAAAATGCTTGTCCTCTGAAAGAAACGTGTTTACTAGAGGAAAACTACTTCCATTTTATATCTGCTGGCACGTCTTAATTGATTTTAAAAATGCCAACGTTTTTAACTAATATTAACTAATCATAACTAGTAAAGAAAATGCATTGGTTCCCATGAGCAGGAAATCAGCCTGAATGGGGAGTCAGAAGGCAAGGTTCTTGAGATTTTATCCAAAGTTTCTGTATTAATTCTGTCTCCAGACAGGGGCACTTGGCTGCTTTGTTCCCTTCAGAATGGGACTAGACATTAGCTTAGTCACCGTGGTGTGTAGGGGATTAATTAGGCAATTCAGCACCTCACTCTAATCATGTAAAAACATTAAAAGCATCACTGGAAGGAACCGAAGCTGTATTTTAAGAATTATTGCTCATTTACCATCTTTTTTGTAACACATCTTGGAAGAGTAAAGGTAAGGCAATTTTCATTATCAAAATAGATATGCATTGCAGTTTGGCAAGATTGACCATCCTGATGGGAAAACATAAATATTCAGTTTCTGATCCTGCCTCAATCCAATCTCGGATACTGCTGTGCTGTAACTTTGCAGAGAACTGTTTCAGGACGCACTGGGGAATGTTTCAGTCTTCCTTCTGGTTTGAAAAAACCACACAGGGAAAAAAAATGGTGGGTAAAGCAGGGCAGAGATCTGGGGTAATCCCACACGGAAGACAGCAAAGCCAGAGAGCAAAAGGTAACCTCTCTCTTAATGAGAAACAGGGAGGCTGGTTCGACATCCATCAGGATAAAACCATTCCCCCTTTTGCTCTTCCCACCTTGCTGGGCATCCTGCCAGCAATGCTCGGGCATGGGGCTGCCTCCCTCCATTTTGTTTCATCGCTGCACACCCACTCCCTCTCCACGGTGCCGCTACTGCTGCACTGCTGGCTGCAGCAGAAGGAGCCCATGGGAGTACAATATCAGCCTGCACCTGTGGCAGGAGGACAAGGGGAGGTTAGGAGCTGGTGGAGCATGAGGAAGATGCTGGAGCTGAAGCCTGATGGTGAGATTAAAAACAGGCTGTGGCCAGCCTTCCCTAGCATGAAACTGATTGTCCTCCTTGTTACCACTGGGAAGGAGAGTGGTGGCAGAGTCTCTCTCCCACTTCCCTAATGGGGTAGGACATTTTGCTCCTAAGCAGACCCCTCTGCTCTGTCTGTCCCGTGTTCAGGAAGGATGCAGAGTTAGTGTTTCCTCCTGCTTGCAGCCAAGTCAAGGGACTGCCTCTTTGCCCTGAGTTCAGCAAGGTGTTTGTGTACATCAAAGATATCAAAGATGAGCTCACGCATTCACTTCTCACAGGTTGTTTGCATGCTCCTGTCCTTACAAAGGTAAAAGGACAAGCTTTGAAGAAATCATTGTTCATCATTCTGCACCATTTGTTATCCCAAACATTCATCAAGGAAACTGTTTTACAGAACTGGCTTATCCAGCACAAACTCTGCCACACCTCTGTGTCTACCTTGGCAATGCCCTATCTAGATTAAAAAATTACAAAGACAATTTATAATGATAAGAGTTGTTGAAATGCACACTTAGCTCAGGTAAGTGAATCTGCTGACCTACAGCTTGTACATCACAGGAATCAGAAACAGCTTCTGCTACTCTTTGCTGATGCTGTGCATTTCTGCAGGTTGGCTGGGGGGAAGATAAGACTTCCCCAAGCTGCAGCTTCAGTTATCCATGGAAACAGAACATCAGCTCTGAATAAATGATCAGCCTCATCCAACGTGCTAAATTCAGAAAAAAATCTCTGTAATGTCTGCTGTGTAACTCGCCCCTACTTTTACCTTCATGCATCACATCAATGAGATCATGTGTCTGAATTGTTTCAGGAAGCCCTGAGGGTGTGTGGAAATTTTGAAAGCTTGGCTCAGTTTGAGCCAGGGTTTGCAGCACCAGGTGAGCCTGGCTCAGCGCTGAGCTTTGGTTTCGGTTTTTCCACTTTGTACACCCGATAGCACCCTAATTCTTGGTGAATTTTTCCCTTTTAGAGCTTCTGTGGAGAAAATATTCTCCCCAAAAGGGAATCATAAGGCAGAAAAAAGGTAGACAGGTGTTTCCACAGACAAACGTCAATCCTTAATCCTTTGTAAACCCTCTGGAGTGTGTAACTGGTTATTGGTGCCTGGCAGAGAAAAAAAGAATCCAAAACCTGAAAGAGGTTTTTCTGTCCTAGTTTCATGCATACATCTCAGTGCAATTCAGTGGAGACAGTAATATGTTCAAGGTAGATGTGGCTATGCCTCTGTTTATCCTCTAATGATAATTGTAGATTTCCAGCACTGCAGCGAGAGCACACGGAGCAGGATGCTCCTTGTAAAAAGTAGGTTTAAAGGAAGAAGTGTGGCACGAAGCCGTGGCTTACACTGTGTGTTTTCTTGGTGCTCTCTCCATAGGGACACTTGTATCAGCTTTCACGGTGCTGTGTGGAGCCCGGACCGACCTCCCTGACAGGCACATGTGCTGCGTCTTCTGGCTGAACATTGCTGCTGCACTGATTCAGATCCTGACAGCAATCGTGATGGTTGGCTGGATTATGAGTATATTTTGGGGGATGGACATGGTCATTCTTGCAAGTAAGTACAGTGCACTCACCCTCCCATCTACCCCCCGCCTTGGGCTGTGTTGCTGGGACCCAGCTAACGGCCCTGCAAGCCTCCAGACTGCTCTGTAGGGAGCAAGGGCCACAGGATGGGCTCTGCAAGTCAATGAGAAACAGTAGGCAGAGGAATTGTGAGAGATGCTTAGGAGCACTTGCACCCAGGCTGCCCCATCACACATCTGGATGTTTCTCATCCCACCACACAGGTTAGGATTGTACATTCCCCTTTAAACAATGAGAATTGTAGGAAGGGGTGCGGATCCCAGCACTATGAATGCTGTTTTCTGGAGCTCTCCCTCCCTGGCTGCATCTGTGTGTGGTTTGAACAAGAAAACCCTTTGTCTCCCTGTGACTCCAGCTGCACCTCTCTAATTAATAAGTGCTTCCCGCAAGGGCAGTCCATCCCCAGAAAAGCTCTAGGTTGATCTAGTACCTTCCATCCTCCCCTGAATCTATGTATCCAAAGGCTTTTTTTCACTTTTCATTAAGTTCTTAGGCTCAATAGGACTGTTGAGCTTTTTCTGGAAGGAATTCCCCTACACTCTTTAAGAAGGCTCTGAACCACTACTCTAGAGGAAGAAGAGAGGAATCCTTCCTTGAACATACATAACTTAGGTCAGCCAACTGCTTAACTACGTATTGCCAGCCCACAAGCTCTGTCACTTTATCTGCTAAAGACTTTCACTGGTGGACACTTTCACTTTGGTGGACACTGCCCCAGCTGAACAGGTCTGGGACCTTCCAGACCAAGTGGGTCAGCAGTTCCCAAAGTGAGGGCTTCTGGAGAATGTCTTACCAGTAGCTTTTGCTGTTTTGTTTGAAGGGTCTTCACGTAGTCATCTCTGCTGATGACATCTCTGTGGGAGGAGGATCTCAGGAAACTGCCAGGCACCAGCAAAACAATTAAATGGATGAAACTGAAAAGAACAGCAGGAAAACAGAGCACATTTTCAGATGCCAAACCCACCGGTTAAACCCATCCACCAAACCACCTGCTACTTTCTGAGCCAGCTTCAATTTACAGGCTGAGTTCAGGGAGATCCACATACACAGTAAGATGATGTGAACATGAGTGAAACAAAAGGCTTTCCTCAAGACAAAGACAGCACTACACTTTGTTTTCCCCTGCAAACCAGCAGAAGTTTCATCTCAGATGTACCTGCATGTTGGGTAGCCTGATGAGGATAACATGTGAGTCAGTCTGTAACTGTGAAATGTCTCTAAGAACCTGCCTAATTTGTGTGTAATTGGGTAATTACATGCTTGTACCTATACATGCTAGCACTGTTGCTCTGCTGGGCAGCCTCAGCATGTGGAACGCTGCTGGCAGACCTGCTTTTGGAGTCTCAAGCACCTGTTCAGACAAAGAGCTGCAGCTGAAACTGTGACTTACCTTCCCCTGTAGTCCTCCTTGTTGCATAGCAAAGACACACATCAGCTGGGCAAATGGCTGGTGCTCAGGAGGCTCCAACTAGTTTTCTGGCTTGGCTGCTGGGGATAAAACCACAGCTTCATCCAGGTCTATCTGCTAGTACAGAAGGGGAAGGGGAGCCCGCATGCCTTGTGTTAACCAGCTCATTAAATAGCCAGGTTTTAAGTTTACTTACAATATATAAAGGAAATCCTGAATACGTTTAGCAGTTCGTGGTTGATGGAAAACAAAATAAAAAATAGCTTTGCAATCACAGGAAAAAACAGAAGTGATCAATTGCTCCCAGCTGGATCAAACAGCCTGCCAGGCCCGAAGTGAAATGTATTCTGTTTTGTTTTTTCCCCAATGCTTTGTTTTCATGTAAAAACAAAACTAAAACAAAACCAAATTCAAAACTGAGTCATTAAAAATGAAACAATGTTTTAAATGCAAGAAATAAGATATTTCATTTAAAAACACTGCCACAAAATGTTTTGCTTTGGTTTGAGTTTGTTTGCATACAAATGGAAACAAGTTGTTTGCAGTTTGTTCTGCACTGAGCAGAAACCACAAACTGTTGCAACTTGAATTTGCATTTGGGTTGGGAGTAGTCAAAACCTACGGAACCACTGCCCCTGAACCTCTAATCTTCCTCACCATGGGATGGTTGAGTCCGTGCCTCCCTGTGGCTGTCCCATATGTACAGGTAGTGTGATTCTGATGGGCTAAAGATGGGCAGAGCATGTGATATCACAGATAAAGGGATTGGGGGGCCTTTGCTCTGGACTTCCATGGATGCCATGAGGGATCAGTGCCTCTTTCATGGGCTCAAGGCTGAGCCTGTGCCATTACGTTGATTGGCAGAGCACTGCGTGGCAGCTAGGGAGGCTTGTTGCTATTCTTCCCTTCCTAGTGCTCCTTAATTCTCAGACTCTAAGAGGGGAGCACCGCAGGTACCTGGTCCAATAGGAGAGGAACTTTGAGGATAATGTCATGCTGCCTGTCTTTAACGTGGAGAAAAATGAGAGGAATTATAGGTCAGTCAGGTACACTTCAATTCCTGGAACAGCTAGTCACATGGATGATTCGCAAGCATTCAGAAAATAAAAAGAAACAAAGCAAGAGTCAGCCTGGGGTTGTTGAGAACAAGCTGTGTTAAACTGGCCTAATTCCCTTCTGTGGCAGAGGAATTCATTTTGTGAATAGAGAAGGTGATCAGACATACAAATCAACAGTGTGCATGGCTGTGCCTACGAATGAGCAAAGGCACTGTCACTTGTGGTTTCAGAGGACAGAGACTCCTGCTGCAGCAGTCCTTGGCCTTTCGAGAACTGGAAAACCGTAGTAAGAAATTACCTGTAATCATCCTGTCCACTCGTCACTCACTCCTTTGCTAATTACAATGCTCACGCCTCACCAGAAGCGACAGATGATTGCATAGTTGCTGTACATCTGGGCTCCCAGAGACTTTGGGAAGTGTCACCAAGGCCTGTCTTCTCCACAGGGCCCGTCCTAGGGTAGGTTCTGCAGTTGCCCTGGTAAGGAAAGAAAACAGAAAGCATGTGAGAGACTCAGAAGAGAAGAGCATCCCTAAACAGCTGGTAACCCTTCGTGAGATTAAGGAAATTCTGGGGGCAAATTGCCTACTTAGATCCATTACATTCCTTACAGTCTAAATAGAACCATCCCCCAGACTATGCCTAAGGTAAGTAGGTGGAACAACCTTTGTTGTGGTCTCCTACCAAGGGCTGCAGTGGGTTAAGTTCTTGACCTCATTTATGAATGTTAGATAGGGCCAAGGTCAGCAGCAACCAGTCAGGCTGGGACATGCAGAAGGCACCTGTGGGCATGAGCAAACGTGGCAGCAAACCTGGAGAAAAACCAGCAGGTGTCTTTCTCCTGGCTGTTGGACCATGAACAATGTGTAGCACGTGCCATCCCGTACACCATGATGTCTCGTTTTCCACCTTCAGTCCAGCCTGAACGTCACTGAGGAAAGCACTCACGGGAGCACCTTGTGGGCTTGGAGGTGCTCAGCTCAGGGCCAGTGACCTGAAAAACAGACGAGGATTCCACTGGCTTCCCTAAACAAGAACCCCAAACAAAACAACCCACTTCAAATACAAGGATTGTAGCTAAACACAGCCAAGGGTTAGCTTTGGTGTCAACGTTTGATTGTAGAGTTGTTCTCTGTGTACACAGCCCCAGTGTACTCATTCTTCATGTGTTTCGGATATATAGCCTACAGTTACATTTCTCCCTCTCTCTTTCTTTCATGTTCCTTTGCCTCCTTTTGTTCACCATCAAAGTTTCACAAGGTAAGTTTGTTTCTGTTGCTCTTCCTTCCTCCTCACCCTCACACCTCATGGCAGATCACAGCAAGCACTTGTCTAGGGTGAGGAGCTTAGGTGTGTTTTGGGCAGGTGCTGCCTGCTCCCAGCCCATGTCCAGCTCTGTCTGTGCTGTCTGTGTGTGTCTGCCTGTGTCTGTCTGTCTGTCCTTTGGTCGCTCCAGTGGATGCAGGGGAACAAGAAGGGTACTGCCTCTGGCAGTAGCCTGCATCCCCATCCCAAGGGCAGGTTGCTCACAAATCCCAATGCCCCTACAACAGGTGATGCCTGAGCTCTTCTCGGAGAAACCCAGGGCACCCACAACAGTCCCACCACGTGCCAGGTGGAAGATCCTGGTATATCGCTGTAGCTGCAGGACAGACCAAGGTCAAAATGTTCCCTAGGTTGTGTCACAGGTGGATAGGGGTGGTAGCAACCTGCTCTGGCCTCAGAACCTTGAGCAGGAACGTGGTCCTGGGGAGGGCCAGCGGAAGGACAGCCTGTGTAGGTTGGTTGCCTTTTGCCTTCAGCTTTCTCTAAATGCAATCTTGCAATGGCTTACAAAAGTGCAATTTCAAGCAACCTTGGTTCAGTTGGTGAATTTGGGCACAAGTGCTGGTTCTAGACCTGTCTGCTTCACCAAACTGCACCTCAATACTATTGCTACACAAGCACACTAACATGAAGTTGCCCTACACAAAATACCTAGTGCTATAGAAGAAGCACAGGAACTATTTATTTTCATGTATAAACTATTTAATAGGACAAGTAAGTCTTAAGTGTTTTAATAATGTAATTTAGCACAGAAGAGGTCATCTTTTGGCTTACTTTGTTCATGTAAAGAGCGATACAAGCTCTGCCACTGCAATTGCCTTCTAGCCAGTCACAAAACCAAGCAGCAGAACTGAAAGGATTTCTGTTATGTCTTAATTAAAGGCGAGGCTAAACAACATAGCAATTGTAAGTATAACCTATTCTGCTTCAGCTAAGGATTTGCAGCATGATCCCAGCTCTCTGGTCCACGTTTATTTTTTTACTAAACAAGTTAGAGCGGTGCCATAGGTAACTCCACATTACAGAGCTTCATTTTGCCTTCACAGCTGACTCACAGAACATAAATGGACAAGAAATCATTTTTTACAAATTTTTTTTACATTTTTTACAAAATACTGTTTGAAAGATCTGGGAATCCTTCCATTGAGCTGCATGGCACAGGAAGCAGTGTGGGGCAGCACTGTGCTAAGTGTTCATCCAGCCCTTGCCTCCCTGTGCTCCTTTAACAGAAGGGGATTTAGGCTGCCAAGGCTGGATGCACGCATGGACATTTCCAAAGTGCAGCAAAGTTCATTTACCAGGGCCACCTCTCAGCTCACCCTTAAAGTCCCTTAAAGATAGAGGTTGGAGCACCTGAGTGTGCTCTGTGTTTAGCCTCCTTAGATGGACTTAGAACAACTTTACATGTGAGTTGGAAAGAAATTTTTAAAATATCAATGTTCAAAGCATTAAATATTCTCTGGGATGTAGAATTTCAATTTTATTTTTTTATTTTTAATTCAAAATATAAACTTTACAGTCTACTCACTTTATTCAAGCAAAGGAAACAAATTTTAAAAGATACCTGGTTGGAAGAGCTTCACTGCCACAGGCAGCGCAGGTAAGGACAGTCTGTTGGGATTTTTGTTGTTGCTTTTTATTTTTTAAAGAGGAGATCTGTCACATTACAGCCGCAGCTTCTTTTACAACGGCAGCAGGTGAATCATCCGGTGAGGTCATTGCAACTACCTAGGGAAGTGTTAAACAAATGACGTGTTTTTCTCATCCCCTCAAGATGTCACACAAGAGCTGCGGGTGCTCTGCTATTGCCCCAGCTCCTGGTAGCTCACCCCAGCTGAGGCAGCTGGCGGACCAGGGGCTGAGCAGATCCCTTGTCCCAGTGCAGCCGGACTGACAAAAACACCTCTAATGCTGGTGGGCTGGGGCAGAGCAAACAGGTAATGAAGCAGCCCGAGTATCCTGATGGGGACAGCCCCAGCGTACCCGTGACGGTGTGAGGTTATAGGTTGTAGCGCTGGCAGCCACAGCGATACACAGCATTTCTGTAACCCCTCCCGGCAGCGTGCCCCCATTCCTACCAGGGCAGGTGGTTACCCCCCTGCGTGGGTCAGCACACACCTCCTCGTGCACCAGGCTTGCCAGAGCCTTGCCGGGGCTGCCAAGGGGCTTTAGGAGCTGAGACTAACCGTGTTCCCTTCCCCTCCTCCTCACAGGCTACAAGGAGCAGGGGATCCCACAGCAGCTGTAGTGGCTGGGACAAATATGTTGAGAGAAACACGGCGAGAGATTTCCTTTGGCAGCCGCGGGCCACGGACCTTCTCACTACCCTTTGTCTTTCTTCTTCCTTTTGTTTTGTGCTCGCCCCTGTCCCCCTGCCCATCCAGCGGAGCGGAGGTGCAGAGCGGCAGCAGGAGACTTGCACTGAGCGAGGAGCAGAGATGGGGCAGAGGCAGCGTGCGGTGGGCCCAGCCACAGCCCGTGTGCGGCGGGTGGTCAAGGAGGAGGAAAAGGAGGGTGCCGAGAGGAGGAAAGCCCCCGGTGAAGGTGGCACCCGGGCAGGCAGCAGAGCTGGGGGAGCGGGAGGTGTTGCTCTCTCTGTCCTCCCAGCAGCAAGCGGTCAAAGACATTCTGCCTCCTGTTAGACGTTTTTTGCCTCCTGTTACGTTAAAGAAAACCAGCTGTGAGCATCAAATGCCAAGGAGCTATCAATAGACAGACGTACAGCCTGTAGAAGCAACAAGCGGTCCCTTTTTCCCTTCCAAGAGCCCCTTCTTGACTGCTTGGTGGCAGCAGAGGGCTCAGCCCAGCTTCCTCAGCCGTGTACCTTCGATGCTCTATCATTGCAGATGTCTTGAGAAATGTGCTTGCTGTAAATCGCGTTTTACTCTTAAACTGACTTGGGCTGTCCTCTACATCGATCCTCTGGCTCCAGGCAAGCACCAGACCTCCCACTGGCCCCGGGAGGCTCCTACCAGCGGGAGACGGGGATCCCCTGCACCCCGTGTGCTGCTGGTGGGGCAGTGGGACAAGCCCCGTGCTGCCAAAAACCTCCAGTGTAAAGACTTCTCCCCTTCCCCTGGGAGGAACCTGCTGTCCTTGGTTTGGCCGTGGATCCCTGCGCAGCGTGTCCTGCAGGACCAGTCGATGGAGCATCTCCGCTCTGCTCCCCAGGGGTGAGTGCCTGATGCTTGAGGATTGTGCCCTGGTGCTATTGTGGCCGAGGCGTGCAGCTGCATGCCCACGGTGTGCCTGCAGAGCTGCAGCTGCTGGCCAGGCCCCTTGTTCCTTTTTGGCAGGGCAAGGGGGGCTGCGTTGGGGCAGGTAGGGCTTGCTGGGAGCCCTTTGGGAAAAGAAGGGGGTAGGTGGGAGATAGAGAGTGTGTGTGTGTGTGTCTGTCCATCCATCTATCCCTAGCAAAAAAATCCCATTGCCTTCACCAGGATGTGCCCAAGCAGACAGACCCGAGCTGCTCCTCGCCTGTAATTTCTGCAGGGAGGCAGCTGGCAGCACGCATCCCCTGCTGTGCCCGGCCTCTCACAGCATAACTGCTGGCTTTGCAAGCACATTTTGAAGCACACTGGTGTGCTTGCAGTGCAGACCCTCTCACTTAGGATAACTTTTTTTGGATAACTTGGCAGACTTCAGCCAAGCCAGCATAATTTGCACCCTCTGTGTGTGTACAGAAGCCAGCTGGCGCACCAGGGCAGCATGCCTGAGTCCATATGCTCAGATAAATGCGTGCACAGCTGCCTTAGCACCACGGAACACATCCTCTGGTGCCCATGGTCTCTGGAAGACCTGCCTTTGGCTCTTTGGGTGGAGAGAGCTGCAGAAATAACCCAGGGGGGTTTCTGCTGTGCTCATGCACTGCACATTGTGCCGCTGTGCTGGGCAGCCTCAAACAGCTATTTCCAACTTTCCCAAGTTAAAATGAGCAAGCTGAACCCTGTTTTTTCAGCTGCTCCACAAAAAGCAGAGGTCCATAGCATTGTGCAGACAGAAAAGCCTCTCATTTTTAATTTTTAGAGGAAAACAAAAAAACACCAGCTTCTAGAGCAAGATAAACCACACAGCATAGGCAGCAGTGAAGTGGGTTTCTTGGGAGGACAGGTAGCAGCTGGTGCTTCTTGTTAACCTCGGGCTGGGTGTGCTCAAGATGAAAGGCAGTGTGATTGTCACACCATGAGGTGGTGACAGTTTGCACGACAGCAGCTATTCGGAAATCCCAGCTTGATTTCACTTGGGGTGGATTACAGTAGGAAAGGTTAAATCTGTGGGCAACCTGCATTAAAGGCAAGAGCTGAGTTCCTCAGCATTACCCTGGTGTTAAAAAGCAAACAGACAAAGCCTTCGGGTGCAGAAGCCCTTCCCAAGTCCTGGACCAGGAGCAGCATTTAACTAGCTAAACGTCATCTAGGAAGGATGTGTTTTGGCACCTGTGAGGACTGATACACTTCTGTGTTTGGTGCTGCCTGTGCACTGTAGTGAGGGTGGGATGTTGTGGTTAGCCAGGGGAATGCTTGCATGAACATGCAGAACTCCTCAGGACTGCTGCACACTCCGGGGAACACCACTTTGATCTTTTTTTTCCCTTGTTTTTAACCTTGCTGTCAAATCGGTGAAGTCGATCAAGCAACCAATGTACAACTCCAGAGGTGCTGAGGTCTGCCAGATGGACACCAAGGCCAAAGGGTCCAATTTCTGCCTGTGAGAGGGATCAACTTTAATAAACAGCCAGATTTCCACTCCCTACTTCAGGACAGGAGCAGCTTTACAGATTTGCCACTCTCCCAGCTACCTTAGAGGGAGCACTGGACTGAATTTTCAACCAACTGCTGCAAAAGCAATGAGGAACGCTGCTTTTTCCAGTAGCCCTTCCCTGGAGAGACATTTCTGTGACACCACTGGATGGACGGAGGATGTTTTTTCCCTGCTCCTGAGAGACTAGACCTCTGTCCAGGGATGGATCGAGCAGAGCCCAGACCCCGACACTGCTCCCAAGGAGCCCACAGCGGGGAAGCCAGCAGCCAGAAGTAGGGGGCCACAATTTTCACTGGTGAGAAGACCAATGCCATGAAAGCCCAGGTAGAAGTGCTGATGTGAAGCTCTCCTTCATGAGCCATGCTTATTATTAATTATTTGTTATTATTATTTTTAGGGCCAGATGAATCCAGCACCTTCCCACCTCCCCTGCCATGGGTGCACGCAGTGTGCTCACTCCTGCCTGTGGAAACAGGACTGTCCCAGCCACCCCTCACCAGGCACATCAGCTAAGACTTTCAGGGCTTCCACCAAGATATTCCTCCTCTTCCTCCTGGTAAATACTGCCCCCTTGCACATTTTTTTGGTACAGCAAAATACCAAAAGGCTGTAACTGCAGGCCCTGCACATGATCCAGCTGCTGACCTGGACAGCTCGATACCATCCCTCGCTTTATGAGTACAAATGCTTTAGGTGCAAGTGTTGCAGCTACAGAGCTACAGCAGGTTATGAAGAACAAATGCAACTGCTTCACCACCATCAGCCAGCAACAAACTGTCCTCTGTTGCTCTTTCCCGACTGGGAAAACCAGGTTTCTCAAAAAGGGCTTTAACTAAATAGTTCCTTGGTACTTTAAACCTAGCCGGGCTGAAAAAAAAAAAAAAAAAAAAAAAAAAAAAAAAAAAAAAAAAGCTGATTTACTGCTTGCTGGAAAGCACTTCCAGGTAGGAACCAAACCAAATGTGCTTTTGAAACTTGTGGTGAGTCATAAAGTAGTTTCAGTGAGCCGAACCATTTCAATGTTCATAGATCTGTTGGTGTTGCCAGTTCTGTACTTACCATGGAAAAGGTGCTGTGAAAGATGGTCCCTGCCCTCCGCGCTCCTGCCTGCCCAGCAGAGCTGCCTGCAGAGGCTCAGCACCTCCTGGCCATGGCAGCATGATGGGTGATCCCAGCACATCCTAGAAACTTTGCCATATTAACACCGGACACCTCCTGCTGCCCTCAGTCAGGCTTTGTGCTAGGAAATGGTCTGGCAGCAGGCGTTATGGGTACATGACATGTGGGTACCTGTGTCTGTGCCACCGCATCCCACACTGCCAAAAAAGCCGCATGTTCCTCTCCATGTGCATCACTTAATTTATTAAAGACCTTTCAGTTTTGCTGGAAATTGCCCTTGGTCATAGCCTCTCCATGATGCATGAGGTGTTATGCAGAGCTCCACATTTGGGAAGCCCAAGCACGAAAACCCATAATGCCATTACTCTCCAGGGGCTGCTTTATCCCATCCTGGTATTGCCTCCTCACCACCTGGGGATGAGCCATGCACATGCTAAGCCATCAGGGTGTCCTCATACCCTGCCACTGTGCAGCACCACGGGGCAATGCACAGGGCTTTATCCCACAAATACACTTTTAAAAAAACACACACACACACAAAAAACTATTCAACATAAACTATATCCCCTACATGTCAACACCAAGACTTCTTTGACGCTTTAAGGCCAGGCACGAGAATAGCCATAAATACAGCCAAACCTGATGTTCCTTCCAGCCAAAGGAGTGGCTTTGCTCACTGGTGCTGCACGGTGATATTTTGCAGATGGCACTTTTCCGTGTTCACGCACACAGCGCACTTTCAGGCAGTTCTGGAATGGGTTTTCCCAACTTGAACACAGCGTTTCAACCCCTCCTGCATGCCCACCCTGCTGTACCACAAGCTAAACAGAGATTAACCCCCCCCCCCCCCCCCCCCCCCCCACCAGTTCTTCCTCACCCACAGACCAGGCTGGTCTGGGCTAAAAATCAGTCCCACCTCACCCAGAGGGCAGCAGCACCCTAGTGAAGGGGGAGCTGGTGCCCACACGCACCACCTTCTCCCCACATGGGGACAGTGCTGGTGTCCCAACGTTCACTCAGCCTGTTTCATTTCCATGCTGGAGCCCGAACTGACCCAGCCGCGACGGTCACAGAGGAGCGCTTGTGAGCCTGCCAGTGTTGCCAACTGTTTGGTTGTGACTTGCTGTGTTTTGATACTGTGGATTATTATTATTTTTTAAGTTAAATATATTCTATTGCTGTACAACTGGAATGAAATACAGTCTTTTTACACAGAAAAACCCATCGGCCCCACATTGAAGGGAGGCTTTTCTCTTTCCACCCACTAAGCAGGTGGGTGAGAACCTCCAGCAATGCCCACGCTCCCTGAGAGGGGAGGCAGAGGCCAGGACAGTTTGCAAAGGAAAACACGTGGATGTGGGCTGCAAACGCAGCAGGAGGGCCTCAGTCCCCCACATTAGTTTTCTATTAAATATACATGAAGCAGGCCCCCAGAGGGAGTCCAAATGTAACCAGAGCATTCCCACACTAAATAATGGTATCATGTACCAAGTGTCTAGTTCTGCACTGAGACAGCACAGCTGCACAATCTGCTCTAATGCAGGGGGTGCACAGGAGCTGCAAGCCAGACTTATATGTGGGCACACATCCAATATCAGCAGTGCACCTTCCAACAGGAGCTGAAATCTAGGTAGGGGACCCGCTTCCCTGCTGTGCATTTACAGAGCAGCTGGGTCAGCAAAGCCCAAAGCCACAGGGATCTGTGTTGAAGGCCTGCTGCAGACAGGAATGGGTGTGTGACAGCTGCATGCCCAAATACAACCCCAAAGATGCCTTTTTTAGGGGAAAGTGAGCATTCCCATATGCTAGTTACAACAGTGCTAAAAGAAAGTCAAAATGGAGCAGAAACGTCCTTGTCACTGGGGAAACCCAGGGGCACCTGATGGGGGGAGAGCAAGCCCTACACCCAGCTGTGACAGAGGGCATGGGTAAGGACCAAAATCGTAACCAATGCACAGGAGGCCACCTTCTTCCATGAGATTCATCCATCCCAAGCAAGCTGAGGATGTTTGCTTAGCAAAAAGCACTTCATTTTTCAGAGCTGCCACTGTTTTGCTAATGTTAATTTCAGGCTATGTTAACCCAGAGGAGGACGGTTCGCAGCAACTCATCTCTGCTCCAGAAAAATGTTGTATATATATAAATAAAAGGCTGCACAGCTGTTTTTATTCCTTCTGAACCTCCCAGGGCCACTCAGGCCTGCACTGGTGACCCACCTATCACCAGCACGTGAATTTGGGGAACCTTGCTGCATTGCCTGGTGCTTATGAGCCATCCCCTGGCTGCTCAGAGCTGCTGTGCTCCCCTGAAGCGCAGTTCCCCTTCCAAACAACGCTGCCCTAACTCTTGCGGATGTCACGGGCTGATTTATTTCTACATTTTGGGGAAAAATAAGTGCACAAGAAAGGAGGGTTCCCCATTCCCAGCCCCACCCCTCGCGGCCTGAGGCCTCCCCCGCTGCCGCTCCCAGCATGGCCGCTCGGGGGCGGGCACGGCCCGGGCCCGGCAGCGCCTCCGGAAAAGGCCGCGCCTCACGGGCCGGGGTTTGAGGCCCAGCCTGGGCACGGCTCGGTGTGGGGTTAGGGCAGCGCTTGTCCTCTGAGATCTGCCCTAAAGGGGTGCGCAGCCCCCTCCCCGGGTGTGTCAGTGGGGCATCAGCACGGCTCGTTCCCAAACCAACAGCACCCTGCAGCCCATAGGCTCCACACACTACTACTTGCTCCTGCCTTCCCCCACACATAAACCACGCCACAGAGACCCGAGCTGAATGGCTCACCTGCAGGGATGAGCAAGGGCCCTCCAGGACTGGGCTTGCTGCGGACACACACAAGAGGAAAAGCCTGGTTTTGCCAGCACTAAGCCCAGCAGCATTTCATCTGGGCACAAACATGGGTTTGCCCACTCTCTAATACCTTCATTTAGATCCAGCAGCCTTAATGTGGCAGCAACTGAGGTCATTTATCTGAACCCTCATTGCCTGGGCTTCATAACCCCCTCCAGACATCTGCTGTGGGGCTTGGCAGCACAGCTGCCCTGCATCACCCATGGTGAGGCCCAAACACATCTCCAGGTGCTCCCCCAACACCAGTACCACCAGTACCACCACCAGTACCACCTTGCACAGCCTCAGCCACCACCACGCAGCACAGCTGAGCCCCGCATCAGCCAGAAGTCACAACACGCCCAGCAAAACTTATAGAAGGCTCATTCTTGCAAGTGCTAGATAATTAAGAAGATAATTAGTAGAAATTACACAGCTTGAACAGAGTGCCCTGTACTGCGTGGCCTTGTGCTCAGGGGCTTTGCAGTGTTAAGTATCTACAGCAGCATCTGAAGTTTGCCTTGTTGCATCCGTGTAAATGCTGACCTCTCTGGTGTGAGCTGTTTGTTGAACGTTTCATTTATTAACCCCTGCTGCTGCAGGGAGCCTGGAGAGGGCGGTTTTGCTTTGGGTGCAGCAAAGCAGGTGGCAGGGTGCTTGCTGTGGCATGTGCTGTGTGGTGCTTGCAGACACAGCTTGGTATGAAAAGCTGCCCGTTTCCAAACTACACCTAAATTTCGGTACTGCCAGACTCCAGCACGCAGTCATGACAGGTTTCTTGCGCTGACCTTTTCCCTTCCCTTATCTACCACACTGTCATGGTATTTCCTTCAGTAGTAGGTGAGAACAGATCTGAGGATCTCGTCATTTATCTACTAGGTTTGCATTTTAGGGGGCAGCCTGGCGGATTTTGGAGGCCCTTTCAGAAATCTTTGCTGTCCCCCTCAGCAAGACAGGCCTCTCAGTGGCCTCCATGACCTGGAGTTAGCAAGCAAACCATCAGATATTGGCAGTGATGCTGCAAGAGTGTGAAAGATAGGAAACCCAGGCTTCTTTCTTGCAGCCCAGGAGAAACTGCTGAGCGGAGTTGTAGCAGTGCCAGTTCTGTAGTACTCTACAAGTTATTTTTCATAGCAAGAGGTTCCCAGTCTTTAAGCAAAGTTTTGCTCTGGGAGAACCATGGAGAAGCCATGGGTTGCCCCAAGGCTGCTGCAAGCTGTGCCACAAACGGAACCGACGCCAGAAGGATGCTTCCCATATGCCTTTATTTGGAAAGTTACAGGAGTTTTCTTTTTTTTACAGGCACTGTGCATTGGTGTTCAGACCAGTTTAGATTTTTCTCCATGTTACCCAATGACTGAAAGGGGAGGTGGGAGCTGGGAAAATACCTCACAGCAACTGTTCCAGCCTCCAGAAAGGCATAAGACAGCTGGGAGAAACAATCTGCTTCTTCTGAAGCCACAAAGTGAGGAATCTATTTTATAAAGTCTTAAAAAATAATATATATATATATATATATATATATATATATATAAGAGCACAAAGCTAAAGTACAGCAATAACTGGTACATATCTAGGCATATCGCTTCAAACCTTTTCTCCAAAGGTGGAAAAGGGATGGTTTAAAAACTAAAAACACAGTTAAAAAAAAAAAAAAAAAAAAAAAAAAAAAGGATTCCATGCATGAAGCTTTAGTGTTCTGTGCAATTAAAATGGGATGAAAATAAATATAACATTAAAAAAAAAAAATCCAACCTTTTCCATGACACTAATGGAACAGAGGCAAGTCTGTAAGGCACTTCCATAAGGGCTAGTCTAGAAAGCCTGGTGAAGAGCTGCAACAATGCAACCATTTACAATGGCATCATATGAGCTAAAGACATTTGTCTGCTGAGACAGGAGCTGACGAAAACCTTGGGGAGTTTAATCCTTGGGAAAGAGGCTGGGGCACAGCTGTTGGGGGCTCGACAGCCCAATCCCCCTTATTGCTGCCAGAAGACGCCCCTCAGCAGGGGAGTGGTGCTCAGCAGATGATGGCAGAGGGGCTCTCGAGCATCACTGCCGGGAGCGAGGTGAGCCGGGGCCTGGGGCTCAAGCAGGTGCAGGGTTTGTGGCTGCAGCTCGGTCCTGCCGGCCCATCAATAGCTGACCTTTAGAGAGCCAGTGCTGATGTGAGCAAGCTGCTTAGTTCAAATGTTCCAGGAAGTTAAAAAATAGCCTCCACCCTGAATAGAGAACTGGTTGTTTTCACAGGACTCGAAGCAGGGAGGCCAAACACAGGCTGGGAAGCTAGCGACTGAGCGTAGCGGCAGAGCCAGCAAGCAGTGCAAGAAAAAGGGAAGGCACAGGAACGCCTCGCCTCCCCCCTCTGCTTTGCCACACAAGCCTAATGGGGCACCTCGAGTGCTGCTCGTCTGCCAAAACTCCCAGCTGCTGGGAAGCACCGGGCAAGAAACTGGCACGGGTACAAATGGTGGAGGTGCTCCAGGTGGGAGGGTGGTTCTGGGCCAGGAGCAGGCATTGGCAGCACAACCCAAAAAAAAAAGAATGACCAACCTGGATGTCTACCTTACATCTCATAGGCGTCCATTACAAGCTGTTTTTCTCCCTGCCAGCCCTGCCCAAAGCCTTTATTCACTGTGGAAGGTCAGTGAGGAGCTCCTGGCATTGCCCACCCAGCCAGTGCAGCCAAGGTGGGTGACATGGGGGGGCAGCACCCGGCCATGGGAGATACCTGTACCCAACCGCATGGCCCTGCAGCGAGAGCAAAACCCTCACCCTCCAGTGTGACTCCAAAATAACAGAGAAACCTCCACAGGATTAATGGAATGTCTTCAACACAAAAACTCAAGTCTGCAATTCTAGTGATTTACACACTCAGCAAAGACAGTTCCCAGGGCAAAAGGTGCTGGCAAAGGCAACTAAAGGTAATCAACCCCAGTGTCTTTTACCATCTTCAAGCCTTGCTCATCCACCCTGGGTACTAAAAGGTCCCACGCGTGGCCAGAGGTGTTTTGGAGGTGAAGCTGCTGAACCCAGCACAGGCAGAGGCTCCTTCCTCCACCACAGCCCCGTGCCTGGGCAGCACTTCAGGGCCTCAGCTGCAGCATCCCCTGACCCACAGTGTCTCCATGGCCACCCAGGAGGAAGGTTCCCTTAAAACCATGCTGCACAAGAGACAAAAGCATGGTAGGGAAAGTGTGTGTTTGCCTAACCAACCCCTCCCCGGCTGCTCCAGCACAGCCGGGCTACTGACTCTGTGAAGCCAAGGTTTCAAGTTCAGGAGTTGTTCTGGAAGGTTAGCTCTGTATTTACATGTGGAATTAAAAAAACAAAACAACACAACAAAACCACCTTAAATAGGGAGAGAATAGCTTTAAAATGGGAAGGGCAAGGGTTGGAAAGTGTCTTGTAGTGCAGTTCAGAAGAGTCAGTTGGGAACAGGTTGGGGGTAGTGGCAGAGTCGGACGCATGGCTTTAATGCGAGTCCTCCTTCTGGGACAACTCTGTCAGGATCTGGATGAGATTGTCCAGTCCCCAGAGGTAGCCATCCTCTCTGTTCCCTTCCACCCAGGGCACGTTGTGCTGCAGAACTTGTCCCTCTGGCAGCGGGGTGGTTTTCCCAAAGTCAATCATCCAGACTTTGGCTTGCTCCTTTTTGTCGTGAATGAAGAGGAGGGAGCTCCCGATCACCTGCGGAGACAGGGGGTCAGTTAGTTGTGCACCTGCTTCACATCAAACCCAGCTCTGACACCTCACCTACAGCTGCATTTGCAAGAGGTTATGCCGAGATTTTGCATGAGCAAAAGCAAGATCAGTGCTTTGCCAGCAGTGTTTGCCCATGCAAATCAGGCATTCAGACCGGCTGATTTATTCATACAATTCCCCGCTTCTGGCAGAAGAAAAAGGTCAGCAAAACACAGGCACAAAAGGTACAGATGTGATTGCGGAAACTGAGTCAAGGTTCCTGGGGAAGGAGTGAGATGAATCCCAGCCTCCTGACTGAAGGTTTTCCAAGGCTGGCTCTTGGTGGCTGGTTAGCACCACTCACACCCACCAACTCTGCAGGCATCGCTGTAGGAACAGGTATGCTCCAAGGACGAGGTACTTACAAACTGCTGCCTGAAACATCATTTGATAGCACCCAGATCTCCCCCTAGAGCATCCTGGCTTTTACAGTGCTCTGCACACACGTTATGGGGGTGACCAGACACAAATTTCCTCTTCCACAAATTCCTTCTGCTGCTTTGGAGGGTTCACTCTTACTGACTGGCCTTCCAGCCACAAACCCCAGGAAAGCCTGCAGGTATTTTCATCTGTGAAGGTGAAGCGCATTGTCTGGATGTGCACAGATTTGGTGGACTGTGAGCCCACGTGCTCTTGTGTCACATACGGGGACTTCAGGTGAGCAAAGCGCAATGGCCTCAGCACACACACCATGCTGTGCAGATACCTGGAAACAGGTCGCACACCACAACCTGGGCAGACCAGAGGAGGAGCACAGCTCTGGGGACATCCTGCTGGCATCAGCCCTTCGAGGCAGCAGCACTGAGTGCCACCAGGGACTCCCATGTCCGTCCTGTCACTGGGGTTTGCCTTTAGACAAGGGTTTTAAGCTGGATGCGTGTGCTGTTTGCGATGTATTCACATTTTCAAGGAGACTTCCTCCTCCAGTGCATTGGGAAAATCTCCAAGTTCCAGCAACATGCATTATTTCCCAGAAATGCTTATCTTCAGCTCTTCTCCTAAGCTCTTAGAGCCCTCTCTTGGCCAGGATACAGCATTTTAAGGAAAAGCCTTTTGCTGACGTTCTTTGCTTGCCTGGCCTGAGTCACCAAATTCTCTTGCAGCTGCTTAGAGGAGCCCCAACCCACACGGGGAGACGTGAAGGGCCTGGCAGCCCTCCTGCTATGCTTCATCTTGAAGTTTGGTGGAAAGTCAAAGCCTCTTCTTTACAATTTTTAAGGATTGGAAACTCCTTTCAAAGCCTCTTTGAAAAGGCTGTTTTGTTCCTGCATTTTCAAATGAACTCTTTGGCACTTCACTCCAGGGAGCATTTTGTTTCTGTCATTGAACTGACCCAAAACACTCAGCTGTGACAT